GGGGTGGGGAGAAGAGGGCATCAGTGGGGACAACAGGTGATGCGTAAAGTGCCGAGAAGCCCTCCGCAGGAGATAGAATTTCGGCGGCCTATGATGGCATATGATAAGAGCCCTTAGTTGAATGAAAACAATGAATTTCTGTAAAACAATAAATTGTTTCCCAAGAAGTGTGCGCGAATTGTTGACATGCCTCCTCTGTACAGCACTTCCCGCTCTGGAAGGAGTCTCTTGTTAAAATCGATTCTTTGGTTTGTGATGTATCCTCTGTGCCTCCCAGTTCTCAATCTAGCAATGTGTCCGATTCGCAAAATATTGCATGCGTTATAAATTGTTTATTATGATTCGAATTGTGAGTAGGCAAGCAATCGGTTATTTGCAAATGTGCTGTGAATTTATCTCGCTCGCCGATTTTTCAAAGACAAACTTGATCAAACATCCCAGTGTGTGGGCACCCTCCTGAACGTGAGTCTCAAACTCTAAGATGCCGTCGTCGATGTATAAATGGGATTAAAGGTGATAATATATAAGGTGGGCAAGGGTGGGCAACGAGAAGATGGCAGCAACGCTAATTGAGTCTAACCTGATCAACATTTTCATTACACGATCCTGTATTTTTGTGAAGTCAACAAATATGTCAACATCGTGGCTTTCAAAGTATAAATGAAGTGACTTTTCAAGCAATATATCCTTTCTCTGGCCTCTATGTCCAAATAAAGAAGGGCCATTGCCCGAACCGTCGTTTATTATATACATTTTCGATCAAAGCTGTGCAAGGTAACCATTGGGAGTTGTTTATTGTTTTTCTGCTCATGCACCACTGCCAGCTCATCATCATAATCATCTCCAAATAATGTTTGTTTATTTAGTTGTTTGTTCCAGCTGCTCTCCCTCTTGTTTGACCTTACCCCCCCCCACACCCCTGCGTCTGTCCATTTGCCCCAAACCGCAATGCCCCTTGTTGCCCCAGGGCCCGAAGCCGCCGTTGTTGTGAGCGCGGTCACAAGACCGACCCTGCAGAGACAGCCACTCAGCGATTTCACAGCCACACTCAAAGGGTGGCTGGTGGGGCAAATCCAAAATGCAAACCGAAAGCAAAAAAGGGAAGCACGGCAATGGAAATGGGGCAGGGGGATTTTGAGGTCTGGAGAGGGGGGCGAGGTGGTCGGGTAGACAGTCATGTTGACCGGTTGGCTCGGGTTCGAGGTCAGTCGGGATAGGGTCCGTTTTGATAAGATATGGCGTATGCATAGTGCAGTGGCACACCTAAACCTCTATGGTATGGCGATCCCCTATGTTCATAGTTCCATTTCATCATAGTTCCATTTATTTGGTATAGCCCTGGTGAGCCACTATTCCCCTTGAGCCCCCCCCTCCCCCCAAGTTCCGTCACTTTCTGCCACAGTAAATAGAGATCACATGTCCACCATGCCTCCAGCAGTCAACACGGTGTTCGTTAGACATGTGTTTCACCGTGTGCATTGGTGTGTTTTGTGTAGGTTAGTAAGGCATTTGTTTCGGCGCTAACGTTCCCCACGCACGTTCGAAATGTGTCCTGCAAGGTATATCCATGCCACAGCATGCTTCCCCCCCCAAAGAAAATTATGAGGATATGACCCATGGGTTCTACATTGCTGGGCTCATGATATAAGCTGGCTTGCTAGTTTGTTAGGGTTATGGCTCGTCTGGTTAGCAAGTTTGTTAAGGGTGGGGTTCATCTTCTTTGGTTCTTTCGGTAAAGTCACGTAGAATGAGAATAAAATAATAAATTGATAAAATAAAATAACACAATAATATTCTCACGACGTTTCGGCCCTTCACCTGATGAAGGCCGCTTGTGTTGTGTCCGAAACGTCGTGAGAATATTATTGTTTTATTTAATTTTATCAATTTATTATTGTATTCTCATTCTACGTGACTTTACCGAAAGAACCAAAGAAGATGAATCCTTCCAGTCACGAAAGCTTAAAATCGAAATTTAAGGGTGGGGTTATTATGAAGGTTTTGTTGGTTATTCTTTTACGGTTAGTGCTTGTGTTTGGCTAGTTTGTCAGTGTTAGGGGTAGCTTTATTTTGGTCCGTGTTAGAACCGAGTGTTTGGTTGGCTATTTGGTTAGGGTGAGGGTAGGTTTACGGTTATGTGGCTTTTACGATTATGGGTTTGACTGCTGGTTAGGCCTGGACAAGTTTGCAAGCTTGTTAACATTAGGGGTGGGACTAGTGTTTGGTAAGTTTGGATCAGAGCTAATATCTGGTCATTTGTGCTTTAAATAATGGCTTTTACCTGAAACGTCATCTATTATTTCCCTTTAAAGGGCCCACACACTGTTATTGATGAATGTGATGTGTTTTTGTCATTTACACTTGTACATCACTACCAGTGGCAACAGCAATATCAAATACTGTAATTCGTATCTGGTTAGTGTCTTTTAGAATTCGCTTCTCAGCCCAATTTTGCGAGAGTTTTTTGTTACGGAAATTTCCGTCCCAATTTTCGATTTGAGTTGACGCAGACGCTGCCGTTTTCATCGCAGTACGTGGCTCCCGTGCGCTCCTGCGAAATAACTCGTGGAGCATCCACTGTAAAGGTTTCAAACCTTCACTCGGTAATTCCACACGTATTGCGTCTGCGAGAAGGTTTTTTCACACAACAATTTCGTCCGAGCCTGAGGTCAAATTGCGTTTGCAAGGTATTTTTAACCGTTTGAGAAAACCGGAATGCGTCCTCGGGAATGCAGACTTGTACCCTAAACAAGACCATTGGAAACCGCTTTTTTAAATTTGTATAAAAGAAAACCCCGCACATCGTCAATCATCAACTGTTGCCGAGCACAGGCCCAAAATGCGTGCAACGCACAGGCGGCCAGCAACAAATGGCACCGTCAAAGTTGCAATGGATCAGGATTAAAGTTTTCTTGAATTGAGCCATGTTGTAAGGACTTGGGGGGGGGGGGGGAAAGAGACGAAGGGGAGGGAAATTCCCAAGTGGAGCAGTGCCAGGAAAGGAGCAGAAAGAGAAGCGTTGTGACCTCATTTTTGTGATGAAGGGTCATTGCCTGAAACGTTGCCTTACGACTATTTTTCAGAAGCGACCTGGCCACAAAATGAACCGGTTCGTTCGGGCTTACAGCCGCCAAATACTCTAAAAGCACGATTCTAAATGTGGAGGGAAACGCCGGAGGACCCAGAGAAAAATCCACGCGATCACGGGGAGAACACGCAAACTCTAAATGCTTTACAGGTGTCAAGCTTGGGATTGAACCCACGCCCTCCTGTATATATCAGACGAGGCAGTTAACATCTCGCCACCCCTCCCGTGGCCTTTTAAAATTAATTATTTAAAAAAATCCCTTTTCTTGCACAGGTGGTTAACGAAAGTCTGCACTAGTTGATGTTATGTTTCTGTGTCGCCTGCCAGCGTGTCTTGAGCGGTGCATGACTTGAAATGAGTTTTTGCCAAATGCGTTGGCCACTTGTTGTCTACAATGTTATTATTTATTCTCTGCTGTTGCCTGTTTTTTACACACTTTCATTTAACTCGCTGTCTGTTGTTATTGTCGTTGTTGTATCCTCAAATCCTGTAACTAAATTTTAACCGACTTCCCAATGTGGTATCGACTGCAAACTTGGTATACCTATGTCATACTGATGACAATACTATATTTTATCATTAGAAAAAAAATATATTTTTTTACATTATTTTTTTATATGTTATGTTTCGGCTTTGCTCTAATTGTCCACGCTTAACTGACGTTGGCTGTAATTGGCCACGGTCCCTTGCGTTATGTCAAGCTTCGGGGCCACTTCTTGGAGTCGTGGAGTTCTTCCATTACTAGTATATTTCATAAAAGCGTGTTTAAAAACAATTTGTATATTACTTATTTGGGGTTAAACCAAGGTCCTTAGTGGGTCATTCTGGTTTAATCGGCTGATAGCTGGATTTTTCTTAGCCACGTGTATACAGTCAAATCTTTGGGATTAAAAAAAATTGCTACTGGCAGTACCCATCCACCAATGTAATGCGTAACTATTCGCTATGGTGCCACGCAAAATGAAGGTTGGTTATTTTAAAGGTCGTGCCTCGTCGGTTGTATTCATTTTCCTGTTAAACTGAAGACACTGAGAATTTAAAGACAATCCCTCAGTATTTGCCGGTTAGTTGACGGAGGGTGAGAAATGTATTCCAGTCGATACCAAGAGGCATAGATGCAGAGGATAGGAGGAGGGTAACCTGAGCATTCTGTAAATATAAACAGAGTAAAATGAGCTGTTGACCTTTACACTGAAAGTTAACAAATTGAGAGGCTGATGTGATCCCAGAAAAGTGAAGCTTTCCTTTTCTATGTCCCGTATTGAGTGGCAGCCTAATACAAAGACAAAGACACCCCCCCCCCCCCCATAGCCTTAACAGATTGTTGGGGCAAGTGTTGTTAGCGAGCACCTATGAAGGCCAATATGGCACACGAGGAGTTGGGTGGCCCACACCACGCCCTTTCGCATTTGCCTCCCCATTGCTGATGTTTACACATCGCATCAGGTACTCGTTTAACCCTGAGTCAATCTAGGGGAGAGCCGGGACCGGATCAGATATTCGCCAATAATGGTCATGAGCTGGAATCGTACTTGGGCAACCACGTTCGTGGTGCAGTGCACTAACCACTGCACCACAGCTCCCCGTAATACACACACACTTATATACAGAACTTACATTCTTGGACATGTATATTAAGTGGCACCCTTCTGTTTTACCCCTCCCACCCCATTTGAGGTGCTGAATCGTCACAATTTAAATGTTTGCGTGTGCTGCCTCCGTTATGTATGGTCTCGTTTACATCTAGTTTCTCGTTTGTTTTACCCCACCTCATTCCGTCTGTCTGCTTTCTACTGGCACGTTTGTATTGGCTCGTTGCATGTTGTTGTTTTTTCTGTCAATTTGTATTGCCCTGTCTGTCTCCTGTCTCGTCTTGTCCTGACCCAGCATCTCTCGGCTGTGCTCGTTACAGGTTCCAGAATGTGACGGGAGCAAGGGGGCCAAGAAACGTGCGTGCGTGGTGTGCGTCCGTGCGTGTGCGAGTCCGCAACTGGGGTCCACCTCTCGCCGGTCCGGCACCGAGCGGCGTCCGTCGCACCCCAGCCGTCTTCGTCCAGAGTCCACCCCCACCGTGTTCCCACCATGGACTGGACGGAGTCCAGCCTCAACTCTTCCTACCTCGTGGGCTCGGCCGATTCGACGCCGCGGCCCGAGAACAAGAAGATCTCGGACGTCCGGCGGACGTTCTGCCTCTTCGTGACCTTTGACTTCCTCTTCGTCGGCCTCCTGTGGCTCACGGAGCTCAACGTAAGGATTCTCGGTTCCCTGCTGAGACGAGGCACAACGAGACGGGACGGTGTAGAGGAGACGGCACAGATGGGATGGTGTGGAGGAGACGGGACGGTGTAGAGGAGAATCAACATCGCTCGTTTAGAGTATTTGGCTGCTATAAATTTCCACGTGATGAGGATAAGCCACTTTGTTGAGCTTTAATTTGTGATAGCCAGGTCGCTTCTGAAAAAGAGCCATCTAACTCGGTGGGCCTTTGCTAGTAAAAGAAAAATAGTATTGTTGAGTTAGACAGAACAAAATAGGATAAGACGTTACAGACAAGACAAACGATACGCAATGAGACGATACAGGGGTGGACAGTTTAATGGAGATGGCCAGAATAAAATCATCACTACACTCAGCGGTTTGTAATTGTGTCCGGTGGGGTGGTGGATCATTTGGGACGAGTGTGGGTGATGTTTGCTTTTTGCGTTTAATTTGTTGTCTGTCCCCTGCACCTCCGATTGGCATGGTTGGCTACGTACAGTGCGAAAGAAGTTCTATATATTCTTGGTTCTTTCGGTAAAGTCACGTAGAAGGGAAACAATAAAATAATAAAATATACAAGAATAAAAACAATGTAATTCTCACGACGTTTCGACTGCAACACAAGCAATCATCATCAGGTGTGAAAACCACAACAAGAAAATTTGAAAAAAGTGGAGGTTTTTTCTTGCTGTGGTTTTCACACCTGATGATCATTGCTTGTGTTGCAGTCGAAACGTCGTGAGAATTGTATTGTTTTATATTTTTAATATTTTATTGTTTCCCTTCTACGTGACTTTACCGAAAAAACCAAGAATATGAATCCCTGCAGTCACGCAAGCTTTAAATCAAAATTTAAGTTCTATATACATAATAATTTTTTTCTCTCATCTCCCCCCGCAGGTTGACGGGAACCTCAAGGACAAGTTAATAAACGAAGTTGTGAACTACAGCTACCAGACTTCCCTCTTTGACATCTTTGTGAGTGTTCAGTATTTTTTTTATTACTCTAGCTGGGCAGTGGTGGCTGTGCAACTAGGTCTGTAATCCAGCATTGTGTGGAGGCAGCGAGGTTTGGTGGGTCCCACAACTGTTGCGAACGCTCCCTTTCATTGTGTATCGAAGATCCCCCATACTCTGGCTCGCCCAGGATAAGGTGGTACAGCAAATGCGGACGCCATCTGTTCCATCCGTACGAGGGAGTGTTTCCCACTAGCGGGTTTGTTACGTTTTCTTCGGGTACTCGTTAAGTGGGTGATAACACCTGAATATATATATAGGACTGCAGAGCTTGGGTAATTGTTGGCACCGGCTCATCGCGTGGATTGCCTTCCAGCTTGTCTGTGGTTCCTCAGGCCTCTTGAGTCGTTATCTCCACGAGAGTGAGACGATGCTGCGCACATTACAAGTTTAAATTATTATATTTTCAAATGTCTGTCCTGGGGGATGTAAGAATCGATTGATTCGTTGTGTCGTGCGTTTCCATACTTTGGCAACGTGCTATGTTGCCATTTGTGTCGCGCGTTGCCATGGTGCTGCCTTGCCCGTTGTGCCTCGCGTTGCCATCACCACATTGCCTTTGTGCCGTGCCGTGAGCAGTGCCTGGGGGCTGTTCGATGCACCATGCTGCTTCTGGCCTACGCGCTCTTCCGCCTCAAGCACTGGTGGATGGTGGCGGTGAGTTGCTCCGTCCTTTTGATCGGCGTCACTCCGGATCCAGTTGCGCTGTCGGCTCCAGTCCCACCGCGTTACAAGCTGAGATACGTGGTCTCTCATGTGGCCCACGCATCCATCCCATCAACTCCACTGCGCCTCGGATGGCCCACGGTTACAAGCGGGTACACGCTGGCAGAGCGCAGCTCAAGTCTCGTGATCGCTTGTAAATCGACACCCGCGCTTGTGTTTTATTTTCTTTCTTTTCAGTTAACGACGTTCGTGTCGTCGGCGTTTCTGATCGTCAAGGTCATCATCTCACAGGTGAGCTCCACTGCACCTGCACGGGCGAGCTGGGGGGCGGGGGGGGGGGGTTTGCTAGGACTGGATTTTGGGAAGCTGTGCATTCGGCAAAGGTGTGCGACACCCGTTTTTCATCTGGCTCTCCACCCGTTTTTCATCTGGCTCTCCACCCGTTTTTCATCTGGCTCTCCACCCGTTTTTCATCTGGCTCTCCACCCGTTTTTCATCTGGCTCTCCACCCGTTTTTCATCTGCCTCTCCACGTCGTCCTCATCGCCGCCGCCATCGTCAGAGTTCTCATCAGTCATAATGTACATGCTGTATGTAATTCACCAGTTCACTTTTGCAAACGACACTATACGCTAGCCCAGGAGTCTTTTTGATTTAAAGTTTTCGTGACTGCAGGGATTCATATTCTTGGTTCTTTCGGTAAAGTCACGTAGAAGGGAAACAATAAAATAATAAAAATATAAAACAATAAAATTCTGACGACGTTTCGACTGCAACACAAGCAGTCATCATCAGTTTTCACACCTGATGATGACTTTACCGAAAGAACCAAGAATATGAATCCCAGTGGTCGGCAACCTGCGGATATTTTCAGGACTGCTTCGTGACCGTGTTTATTGAGGACCACCGTCTGGTATTCACATGCATTACGGCTCTTTAAATGTTATATTTTTTACCGAATTCTGGGGGGGGAAAAAAGTATCGTTGTTATTTTGGTTACTGACCCATGCCCCCTAGCCTCCTTGACGTCTCGCCCGGTTAAACAAAATTTACTTTGACGTTATACGGCTGTCGGGCGTGCTCTCCTTTGTGTTGCTCGGCACGGTGTGCCGACGATTCGATCCACGTGCCCCGGGGAGCTTTCGGACCTTTCTCGGCCGAACTCCTCTATCCTCGCGCGGATCGAAACGTCGGGACGCGTGCCAACAGCCCGAAAAAAACGCAACCGGAGAGAGCCGCGTGGCGCAAACGCGAAAAGCGTACGCGGCGGCGGCGGCGCCGGCGACGGTAACACGAGTTGCGACGCCGGAACGATTGTGCAGCTGCTGAAGAAGGGCGCCCTGGGCTACGTGATTCCCATCGTGTCGTTCATCCTCGTGTGGGTCGAGACCTGGTTCGTGGACTTCAAGGTTCTGCCGCAGGAGATCAAGGAGGAGAACAGTGAGTCACCGCCGGCGATCCCCACCGGGACGTTTTCGTTCGCTCATCGCGCGCGGACTGTGGCTGACCGTGCGATGTCTGTCTTGCTGCGACATCGTTCGCATAAACTGCTCTTTAACTCGTTGGCTTTTTAGCGACCAATATCCGTAATACAGGTTTTTTTTTTTTGTTAGATCGTGTAAATATAAAGAAACAGGAGAATTTCTCCACACGTATATAAACAGGAGGATTTCTCTACATAGGGGGATTTCTCCACAAATCTGGCTGCCGCCTGATGAAGCTAGTAGTAATTACTGGTGAAACGTCGTACTCGGATTGTAAATGTTGTTTGCTTGGCTCTCCAACACACCGGTGTTGCTGTACTAGTGACGAATTGGCCACGTTCTGTTTACGTGACAACCCTTACTAGTTGGCTGTGTCGGGTGGTGGCGGGTTTAACGACACATTTATATATTTACGCGATCCAACCCAAAAAAAAAAACCTGTATTATGGATAGACTGCTCTTGCTGTCATACACCGGCGTCTCGCAGGGGGCGGCCGCGGGGAGGGGGGGGGGCGGGGTTGGTGGCACCATTGTTTAGAGGGTCCGCCGGTCGACCGCCAACTGGAGTGCGCAGTTTGGCGCCGGAGTTTGGGCTTCAAGACGGGACGGCAACGTGTCCACAAAGTGACAGCCGCCGCCTCCCTCCGAGGACCTAGTCCCCCGGACGCTTGCGCCCGTGAGATATCGTTACGCCGCATAGCGCACGAAGTTTGAATGGTTAATAATGTTTAATTGTTTATGTACGGCGACTTTTGCGCGAAGCGAATTTAAAGGCGCCGTAGAATCTGCGCCGTTCTTTTCGTGCGGCGGAGGCGGGAGGGGGGGGTCATGAGCGGCAAGGCAGCCAGAAAGCGGTGCTACAAATAAATTGCCCAAGCTCCGTGATGCTATGTTTTGGGATGTTTCGCCAACTCCCTTAACGAGTGTTTGTACGTGTGGGAGGAAAACCGGAGAAAACCTCGCGTGTGCAAGGAGGCGTGGAGGTAGGGGTGGGCACTCGATCCCCGTACAGATTCAAGTTAATCCACTTCGTTTCTACCGCAGTACCCTGGCAAGCCGGGAGATGGCGACCTGTGTCTTGCACGTGTACTGTGTGTGTGTGCACCGCGTGTACTGTGTGTGTGCGCACCACGTGTACTGCGTGCGCGCGCACCGCGTGTAACTGCATGTGTGCGTGCACGCGCACCGCATGTAAACTGCGTGTGCTGTTTGCAGGACAACTCCAGTCCCAACAGAGTGGCTCGGGCCAAGCCCCCCTGATCTACCCCCGCCCTCTCTCGGATCCCCACTTCTACTCTCCTCCTTCCTCCTTGGATGGTGAGCCGCCACCCCCCCCCCCACCCCCCCAAACCACCACTGCTACCCACAGGACCCCGAATGCAAGGTACTCTCAACTGTAGTCCTCATGACCCACCACGTAGCTGGTTGTGCCGGCTCCCACAATGCACCACGTTTTTGTGGCTGTCTGCGATGTTTTCTATATTGAGAACTCGTTCATTTAGAATTTATTTTCGTGTTTATTTTGTTGTCCTTGCCCCCCCCCCCACCCCCGCACCTCCGATTTAGCACGGTTGGCTAACGTACGGTGTGAAAGAAGTTCAATATAGACGCTTACATATTTGGTCGTATTATCCCTCGTTTATATTTGGTTGTTTTGTTTTCTCCGATTTTCTGTTCGCGTCGTTGCTTTAGTTTGTTTTACATTCTCGCCTTTGTCATTTTGACGAGCCCAGGATCACTCTTGCGAATGAGTGTATATCCCGGCCTCGATTGAGTTCTCCACCCGGTCAAACGCGGTCAAATTGAAACTCGCAGCTTGCCCGAACGTGTTCCGTGCGCGACTTCTTCTGTTTTTCGTCGCGACGCAGGTTCGGACGACGACTCCGAAGACGAAACGAAGAAGAACCTCACCTGGCGGGTGAGATCCCCCGTCCGCTCCTCCCGCTTTCTCGCTCTCGTTTGCACGCTCTTACTAGCCTAGATGATGTTTACCCACTGTGCGCAGTTACATGCGATGTCTGTGATAAAATCGCCTCGAACGTAATTTGTGATAATTCGGAGTTCGTAGCGCACGCAGTTTTCATTTGCCGTCAAGAGACGGAGAATGAGTCGGAGCCGTGGTAAGCCACGGATAATATTAGTGTGCATGTTGAGCTTCTTTCGCGCACTGTACGTAGCCAACCGTGCTAATCAGAGGTGCGGGGGAAGAACAACAAACTTAAACACAAACGGCAGTTGTAAAGGAATTGGCTTTCTCTCTAGATAATTTAGAAGTGCATAGCTCCAAGTGGCCCCCTAATATTGGTAGAAAGAGCTTTCCGGACGGCCGCAGGACCACCGTCTTTGTTCGATGGCCAGCCAAAAGCCGCTGCTGCGAGGGTGACGGGAGTACGCGTGATGATGGATTATGCTTGAGAAAAGGCAGTCGCAACCAGCACCAACATTTGCCCAATCTCTTTGGTCCTTGATTGGGCTATTTGGCCAATGCCATTCATTAATTAGGAGGAGGAAACCGGAGTAGCTGGACGAAACCTACACGTACCGAGCCGGGCAATGTAGTGGTCTCCACGAGTCTGGCAACCAAAGGGGAAGATATCGGATGAGGTGGTGGCAGATCTATGACTCTCCCCGAGTCTCTAAGTCCGCAGATGTCTCCGTGGGTTTCTAAGAGCAGATGGTGAGGTACTGTTAGGGCAGATCTATGGCTCTCCCCGAGTCTCTTAGTCTGCGGGTGTCTTTGTTTGTTTCTAAGCTCAAATGGTGGGATGCTGCCAGGGCAGATGTGTGTTGTATGTATGTTGAACTTCTTTCGCGCCATACGTAGCCAACCGTGCTAATTTGAGGTGCGGGGGAAGGACAACTACAGACCCTGGAGGTCGCTGGTTGTCTCTTCTGTGCAGCAGCTGCGGGAACCGGTCGCGGGTCACGAGCGTTGACGACAAGTGGGGGGGGGGGGGGAATGAAAACGGCTCTGCACGATGATTTCTCGATCTTGATCGCTTCGGGGGGGGGGGGGGGGGTGGTGGAGGGGCGCGGGGTTGTTGAATCGTCGACGAGGCTGGCCGCCGGTTTGACGATGTCGACCTTGGTACTAACCAATCTCCCGTGCGGCGGCGGTGGCGGCTGCAGGAGAAGGAGTATGTGCGGCAGGGCAAGAGATCGATGGAGGTGATGAAGCAGACCCTGTCCCGGCAGGACCTCTGGTCGTTCGACAAGAAGACCGTACGTTCCCACGCGACGGATTCACACGGGAAACCCTTCAGACGTCCCACCTCTCGGGCGTGTTCCTTCCTTTGGCTGTAGTTAGTCTCGTCTTCCGGCCCTTCTTCCCTTCTGGTGACGTGTCCTGCCCAAGCAAACTTGTTTTATTTACTAGCGTTTGCCATCTGGCCCACGTGTTCCTCTTTCTCGCTTCTTTGCGCACTTTTTAGCATTTGTAAAAAAAATGTCGTTGTCAACGTGGATGTCTATCAGCCGCCTGTTTTTTATATATATAGTATACGTATTAATAAATATAAAAGGGAAATGTGTGAATGTGTGTCTTATAAATGTTTAGCATACTTCCCAACATGCAACAAACTTGAAATTTTTCGATTTAAAGCTTTCGTGACTGCAAGGATTCATCTTCTTTGGTTCTTTCGGTTAAGTCACGTAGAATGAGAATAAAATAATACATTGATAACATAAAATAACACAATAATATTCTCACGACGTTTTGGCCACAACACAAGCGGCCTTCATCAGGTGAAGGGACGAGACTGTCTGGAGGACACTCCAGCGCTGTTCTCCAGACAGTCTTGTCCCTTCACCTGATGAAGGCCGCTTGTGTTGTGGCCGAAACGTCGTGAGAATATTATTGTGTTATTTTATTTTATCAATTTATTATTTTATTCTCATTCTACGTGACTTTACCGAAAGAACCGAAGAAGAAGAAAACTTGAAATTTGGCATGTGGGCAGCTTCCAGACTGTACACACTGCAGCAAATTACTTCTTGCTGTGACTATCCCACCTAATGACGGAGGCTTGTGTTGCTTCCGAAACGTCGTGATTTGATTAACTTTATTTTATTTTTTACCTACGTGACTTTACCGAAAGAACCAAAGAGTATGGATCATTGCAGTCACGAAAACTTCAAATCTAGAATATAAAAATAGACTTGTATTTGGGGGGGGGGGGGGTGGATGCAATAATGGATATATTTTGCTCGGCAAGTGAGCGGTGACGTCACATCTGTGATGTCACCCGCACGCGGCAGTGTCACGCAGTGTGCCTGCTGACGTCACGCATCCCCCCACCCTACGCGTAGGCCGTGTATTAATCAAGACAAGAATCCAAATCTCGGGCGAAGCCGGGTAGTAAAGCTAGTTAATAATATACCACGATCCATGGGGTGCTGCCCGTGGTGTGGTGGTGTCAGCACACCGGGCTAGCAAGCCAGAGGTCACCGGTTCGACTCGATCTCCCGGCACGGCAGTTGAAACAACGGGAGCAAGTTTCTTAATGTGTCACAGACGATCCATGGACATGTGTGAAAAAGAGATTTATAGCTCGTTGGATTCCTCCAGTATAAATAAATAATCTGATTATAAAAAATGCCCCCCCCCACCCCTCACCGGGTTTATGGAGCGTAGCTGAGTACAGCGCGGAGTCGATCGCGTGCGGTGGGGCAAATTGTGGGTTACTCCCACCTCTTCCAGGACGTCTGGCCTGGGTGGAAGAGTGGGGCCAGATAGCCTTTAGAGCAGTGGTTCTTCATCTGGGGTGCCACACACCCGCTGGGGGTGCGAGGTGCCCTTTCTGGGGGGTTGCGAGACATGGCCAGGTGTGTTTTTTTTTGTTAAGGTAAATCATCGACACACAATTGAAGCGGACGGGCACGCAAATTACAACTTACTTTGTTTCATCAAACCCGATGTATTTGGTGACATTTTTTGTTGTTGTTACAATTGAGACCCAAAAGGGAGGTGGGGGGGGTGGGTGCAAGGCTGCGGTAAATGTTAAGAACCACTGCTCTGGAGGAGCTGCTTTATAGTGAAGGGCCTTTCCACCCAGTGGGCGTGGCGCTGGCCGCTCGGCCGACTCGTGCGACTCGCTCGCTCGCAGCACTTGCTCCCCGAAGTCTGTTCAAGGCTATACGTGTGGGATCTTTGTCCTTTTTGTTTTGCCGATGCAGGAGTATGGAGACGTGATTTACATCACGGACGTTACTGGCTACGGGCGAACCTACATCCTCAAGGTCGATTGCGCCCACTGCACCGCACGGTCACGGACCGTTGCTCCGGTCCGCCACTTTTGCGTCGGTAATTGGGAGAGCCCACTGCAGCACGAGACGCGCGTCCAGGCTGGTAACGATTAGAAATATCGTCACGCAAAAGGGTGCAAAGGAAGGACGGCACGACTGCCGTACGAGTGCCTTGCGCGCACGCCATGCGTGACCACCGCCATTGCACGTGCAGTGCTCTCAGCCTTGTCTAGACCACCAACTCGGCAGAGAGCTGAAAGTGTGGCGTGTACCCTTCGGTCGATCGGCAAGTCGCATGTGGAGCAAAAAAAATCTGACGCCACCAGGGCTGTTCAGATCTTGGAGGCCTAAGCAGGGCTGTTACCCTGGTTCGAACTAGAATGAATGGGAGACGGTTGACTAATACTAGGCAGCGTAGGCTTGGGCTGGTGATGTGGCGATGAAGATGGCAGCAAAAGCAGTGGGATTTCGAATCCATCTCCACGTGCGTTTACTGCGGGTGCTCCTATGTCCATCCCACGTGCAAAGTTTTCACAAATGGATTTGGGCTAACATTCCAGTGCGCGGGACCCTCCTGAAATAAATTGGCCTGGAGACTCGGCGAGACTTTAGCGGTGTTAAATAAAAAGGCGTTGAACATGTACTTGAGCGCCGGTTTATCACCAAGCTGCGGCTGCCAGTTCACGCGGGGCGAGGTGGCGATGCCCCTCCTGTGAGGGTTGGTGGATTGTGCGCGTGACGGGGTTACGGGGGACGGGTGCTCGCAGGCCGTGCTGGATGCCACCCCCGAGGCGGTGTTTGACGAAGTGGTCGTGAACATCGAGGCGATGCCGCAGTGGAACAAGGCCATCACAGAGAGCCAGGTACGCGTGCGTGCGTGCGTGCGCGTGCGTGTGCGCACACGGAGTGGTGGATAGGGGGGGGACAGCGGGACTCACGGTTCGTTTCGTCCGCACGGTCGTCCCGAGTCCACGGACTCGGGCGTCTTTCCCGTTATTTCGGCCGGTCGGTATTTTGCTCAAGCGAGTCGCTATTTCGGTCATCCGCTCGATTAGCTCAGTCGTTGTTCCCTGTGTTCGCTCGGTCATTTGCTCATCCAGTAGTCGCGAAGTCCGCCGTACCAGTCGTTCACATATTCATTTGGTCATCCATTCCCTCGTTCAGTCAATTATTCGGCCAGGCAGGAAATCGAGTCATTCACTTAAGTGATTCGTACATTCATGTCGGTCAGCCAGTCGGCGGGTAACGCAGTCATCTGCATGTGTGGAGGTTGCGGGCAGTGGTAGTGTAGTGGTGGGGCGCATGAGCGTTTGTGCATTTCTTTACAAATCCGGGGGACGCGAGTTCGTTTCTCGCTCGCGACCAACATGGGGCGACGACTATCTAAACCAGTCCTGGGGGCCCTCCCCCGTAGAGTCGGGTCCCCCTTGAACGGCCGGGTACCCGGCCCGCCCTGTAACAAACATCATCCCTGGGGAGACAAAGGCGGCCGGGTGTAGTGCCACTTGCCCTCAGCAGTCTGTTAAGGTTTTCCGGGGTGTGGGGGGTCTCTTTGTCTTTGTGTGCGCAGGTGCTGCAGCGGGTGGAGGATCACACCTTCGTTACTTACGAGGTGGCTGCCAGTGCTGCACGGGGCCTCATCTCTCCCAGGTCGGGCTCCTCATCCTCCTCCTTGTCCTCTTCTTCCTCCTCATCGTCGTCCTATTCTTCCCCACTTGCCCTTAAAGACCAACTCTGATGACTTACAACGTAGGCTCTCGTAGCCGGATGCAGCGTTTGCGTATGATTTGTGTTTTGTGCTGAACCGTGCGTCACGACTGCAGGGATTTTGTGACCGTGCGGAGGGTGGAGAGGCGACCGGATCGCTTCATATCCTCGGGGATGTCGACGACTCACGACGCCCGGCCGGTCCACGACGGCATCGTACGGTACAGCTGCGCGCCGCGGTCGACGGCATCGACGACGATCGCTGCACTCGCCGTGATCGTGGCTGCAATCTTTCGGGCCGGGGGTCGACCTAGGCGGGAGGCCCGGAGGCCCGGGACAAGTTTTTGAGATGGTCGTCGCCAGTGTTGGCCGTGAGCGGGTGTCGGAACTCGGGTTGCCGGGTCGGTGGCGCGGCACGATAACCGCTGCGCGCCGCAAACCCACGCACAGCCTTCGGCCGATGGAGCACCCAGCTCGCCTGCCCCGGTGCACTTGACGATAGCGTCCAACATAGGGCAGTTGACGATCCAGAACTCGCAGATTCCCTCCAGTCGCGCTCACCCGCTCGTTCGTTCACCGGCGGCCAGTCGCACGCGTTCCACTGCTATCGCTACTGTTCCCGTAGAACTTGGCTCGTGAATTCCTCCAGCCATGTTGCGCACTCGCTCAGTCTAACCCGACGTTGACTGTTTCGTCTCATCTGTGCCGTGTTCACGCACCACGCTGCAGATTATGAATGACCCATGCGCTCGCTAACCCACTTGCTCGCCCACTCGCTCGCCATACCGCAGGTCACAACAACCCACTCGCAACGACAACACCCGCATTCCGCGACCTAAGTGGCCCAGGTGCACTTTGAGGCCAGGTGAAGTGTCGAAGGCTCGCTGACAGGAGGTCACGGGACAGACCCAACAGGTGCCCATGGGTTGACCGACTGAGATGACTGGCAGATGCACCAACTGTGCCAACTTGCTGCATTTTAGTTGCCCGTTGCTCCGCTCGTTGTTGCGAGCGTCGCTCCTCTGCTCTCCCGTTGTTAGAGGGCGACGTCCTTCACGAGCCTCCTCTGATGTATACACACTGCACCAGTTACTCGTTTAAGGCTACGTCGACCTAGGGCGGAGTCCAGGACCGCTTCATCTATTCTTCACGACGTACATTTACGTACGTGCGTGCATGTATGTGCACAGTTATCTGAACCGGTCGTGGGCCTCCCCTAGATCGACTAAATAAAATGAGTACCTGGTGCGGTGTGTAAACATCGCCATTGGGGAGAGAGAGGCGGCCGGGCGTGCTGTTGGCCACCCACCGCTTCGTGTGCTGTGCCGGCCTTCATCGGTGCTCGCGAACAGCACTTGCCCCAACAGTCTAAGGCTACACGGGGGATCTGTGTCTTTGTCTCCCGCAGTGGGGAGAACGGGGTCGGCGGTTTTGTCGTCGATCGCAATCGACACAACCACGAGCAGAGCGTCCTGCACTGGATCCTCAACACCGACCTCAAGGTAAGCCGCCACCGCCACCTCCTCCTCGCCCTCTACGGGGCAGCAGCACACGAATCGGCCGCTCCGCGAGCGGTCCAGTCTGCGGCGCTGGGACAGCCCAATAGCAGTTCTCTCGCGCTCGCGAGTTGTCCTCTCGCTGGGCCGTCTGGCGGCGTGGTCCCGCAACGGCTGCGCTCTTGGGTTTTGCAGTTACAAACGAAGAAGAGTTTGCGAGCTAAACTATGATTTTTACCAGGTAAGGCTCACCTGAGCTATATAGCAATTTTTTTTTTAATTCAGAAGCGGCTTTGCTATCGCAAATGATAGCCCAGCCAAGTGGCTTACGATCACGTGGACATTTATCGCAGCCAAATACTCCTTAAAACGCGACGTCGATTCCAAATGTGGAGGTAAAAACCGGAAGGACCCAGAGAGGAGAAATCCACGCAGCCACAGGAAGAACACGCCAACTCCAAATATACAGCAGCAGGCGTCAGGGTCGGGATCTCGAACCCACGACCTCCTGTGCACCAAGCAAAGGTAGTTAACGTCTCCTAGCCACCGCGACACCCCGGCCGGGCGCGCGAGCTGCTGCGACGGCTCGTGACGATGCGGCGTGCGCGGTGTGTGCTGCGCTCCCCGCAGGGCAAGCTGCCGGGCTACCTGGTGCAGCAGAGTCTGGCGGGCGTCATGCTGGACTTCGCCGAAAACCTGCGCCAGAGGCTGCGCGGCATGCGGCCGGCGGTCTGAGGCCCGCCCGGGGCAGCAAGGGACACGGCGGTGGTGGGGGGGGGAGAGCGTCCGGTTTGTTAGGCGTTCGGGGCGGAGGGGAACCGGGGGACGTGAGGACGACGACAGCGACTCGCCTCGAGGTGGGGGGACGGGGTGGCCATGGGCGGCGTTGGCGGAAGACCGAGAGATGGGAACGGGAGGGGAGGGGAGGGGGGGTGGGGGGGGTATTGGGACAGGGTGATGCAGAGACGAGGTGGGTGGGTGGCGGTGACGCAGGGAGGATTATGCGGGGACAGACACCGGGGGACGAGGATCTTGGAACTCTGGGGATGAGGATGAAAGGGACGCGAGCTCGGACTAAGGGATGGACGAGAGAGACGGAGAGGGAGGGGGGGGGACTCTTATGCAGCGCGAGGACCACGGATGAGCTCGTGATTCTCGTTCCTCACGGACTTGCTGCTGGTGCATTAAAGTAGCCGACAATACGCGTCGAAATTATACGCGTCTCTGACGGTAAAATGAAGGGTGGACGTTGTTCTTTGAGTCGACCAAATTCAATTTCTGCACCCCCCTCCCCCAGTTTACGCTGGTTGGTGCCAGCGCTGTTGGTGGTAGTGGTGGTGGTGGTGGTTGTTGCGTTTCGTGCCAACCGGCGGAGTCGCCGTCGCGTTTGGAGAGCGACCCTGGTTACTGTCGGTGGAGGGCGACTGCGCGCCGAGCTCGCAATAAACTTGGGGACCTCCCCTCCCGGTGAAGGACGGAGGGGGGAGTTGCCGAGTGAAATTGCGTTCTAATTTCTGCGTCCGCTGCCGTTGCCTGTCGACCCAAAAACAACAACAACAACGCGCAAGCTGACATGCCGTTTAACGAGCGGTGAACACCTCCAGCAGGAAGCGAGCTGGAACGCGCAAACTGTGGCCGGCGGTGGTAAGCGTCGGGATGGGCGGCGGCGGGGAAGCGAGCTCGCGACAGGGCTACCGGCTCCCCGTTTCGGCTCGTTTGTTGGGACCAGGAGCGAGGATGGTGGCTGGTTCGGCCGTGCCCTTATAAGTTTGGATTGCTTGCTTGCGGTTCGTGAGATTGCTGGGATCTGATTTGGCTGGTTCGTTTGGGGCTGGGAAGGAGGCTCGCGTCCCGTGGCCTGATGTGGTTGGAGTTGAGGGTTGTGGCTCGTGTCATTCGTCAGGTTCACTCGTTTAGTGTTCGCATTGACGGGGGGGGGGGGGGGGGGGGGGGGGTAGTCCTCGTCGCTAATTGGCCTGGTGTGCTCCGACCCCCCCCTGACCCTTCTCAACTTCCCCGCCTTTTAGTTCAATTATCACCCAGCAACATCTGCCTGTCGCTCCGTGCCACCTTGTACGTTGGGGGTAGTTGGGGGGGGGGGGGGGTGTCGGACCCTGTTGGTTGGCGCAGCGAGGTCGCGCCCTGGCCACGCGTTTCCCGTCGCCGCCGCCGCTTCGCTGGGGCCGCGCGGGCACCACACGCCCGAGGGGTCGTGGAGAATCGGGACCTCCCCAGGGGTTCGGTGCCGCCCGCCCGCCCGCCCGCCCGTCCGCCCGCGCCGCCACTCGGCACCGTCCAGCTGCCAAGACGCGAGTGGCCGACGCCGTGACCAAAACTAAAGCCGCGGCTACGAGCATGACGATAAACGCGACGGCTGCGAATGATCGCGGGAGAGGAGCCCGCCGGAGCCGGTGTCGTCGATGCGCAAACGTCTTGCCGCAGTCTTTGCCGCTACATCCTGCCATTTTGCCGTGGCCAAGTTTGCCGCGCGCTACCCCGCGGTCGTGGTTAATGAAGAAAGTGTTTCTGGAGTGTCCCAATGATGGTGTGGCGGTGGGGGAGGGGGGGGGGGAGGGCAGGCTTGCGAACGAGTTATAATCGCCAGCTCTGCGTGTTGCACGGTGCAATAACGCCGGCGGTGACGTGCGTCAACCGGGAACGGCGGCGAAAAACGTTAGTCGGCGGCGTTTATTTTCGTCGGCGATTGTGGACGACGAACAAAGAAACCAAGAGACCAAAGCTTGACCTGACGAGACGCAGTTATAACGAAGTCCAATGAAGACGGGAGGCGAAGATAATTTAGCTAACGTAGTTCGAGACTGCAGCGCGCGTTGGAAGATCACAACCGTGCGCCGAATGACTCTGCGTAGAAAAAAATATTTTACCGACTTGCTGACCCGATTTTGTGTACGGTGAAAATGGCTGCACGAAATCCGCACGCCAAGCCTTGACCGATTTTGCCGCAGTCTGTCGACGAGACCGACCTGACGGCAACTCGACTCGCGCCGAATGTTTGCGCGCGTAATCGCGTCGCGAGCATTCTTTCCCGCGCCGTGCGCAGCCGAGCGCGCTGATCGGCAAGGTGCTGGGGCAGCAGCGAAAGGCCGTGTTGGGGAACGGCGAGAAGCCGGCCGCTGTCCTTTTTTGTTTCCGTTTGTTTGTCTCGGGGCTCGCCTACGAGCGACAAGTTGTTTTTGTTTTGCCCGCTTGTGGGAGGGGGTCGGCTGGGTGGCCACACGCGAATTGAGGACAACGGCGGCGACCGCCGCGGCTCGCGAATGGCAACGGATCAAGAAACGCTCGCTGCCCTGCGTCCGACGAAGTAGGCGGCTCGCACGCCTGCCCTTCTTCTCGGCTCCTCCCGCCCGCCCTTCTTCCCGGCTCCCTACCGCCCCCCCCCCCCCCTTTTGACGGAAGAAGCGCCACCCGGGGAGTTTGCTTTTTAAGATTTTGCGCGGCGTTGTGCTGCTGAATAACCCGTAGGTGCAATGTGGATGAATGGTGTCGTTGGGGTGTTGGTCGAGAGAGAGCGAGGGCGAGCGTGTTGAGGTGAGGGGCCCAGTGCCACTGCTGGCGGTCGCTCCTTGTCAACCTTATCGTGGGTTCACTCGCAACACCCGGTTCAACTTGACGGGCGCGACTTCACCTTAACGAGTCGCTGAAGCCTCGCTCGAGCGATAGCGCGTTGGTCATACACTTAACGTGCCGCGGAATGCGATTCGTTCGCTCGGTTGAACTTCAGAAGGCACAGGTGAAAGTTCGGTGAACCGGCAGCCGTTTCGAGGGCGGGGAATGGAAACGCAGCCAGGCTGTTGTCCACCGAGCGAGAGGCGGCCTCTGTGTGTTTTGACGGTCCCCATTGACAGCGGAAGAGCCGCCGCCACCACCACCACCAATCCTGTGAAGTCGAACGACCCAATGTGAACCCACGCCTAAAGCCGACTTCTCCTTTTGGTTGCGCGGACGTCCCTGCAACCCGGAGACTTCCACGTGTAATAATGAGGCAGTTGTTTTTTTATTGCTGCGCGACTTCGGCAACTTGTTTGATTTGCAAACTTGATCGCTCGGGTTTGCGCGCCCCTGGCCCTTTTTAAGCAAGAGATCCGGACCCGTGACTGTAGCGGCTTGTCTTGAATTCACGTTTACAGCATTCCTCCTCCTCCTCCGCGCGCAGTCGGGCGTTGAGTTTGGCCTTTTGTTTTCTACAGAGCTTCATTGTGCCACAGAGGGCAATTTACAAGGATCGTAGGACCTGTGGCTTGTAGCCTCGACTCCCCCCCTACACAAGGAACAAACCAAGACGGGCCTAAAGTCCTCAGCCTTATAACCATCCTTATACCCCGATTCTATCTCCACCGACATTTTTTTAATCCGTGTTCGAGCTACGGGCCCAGGCCTCGATCTTCATTCACCCTGGCTCTCTGCTGCAACACGCGGCCAAACCGGGGACCGCTGCTGCATCCTGGCCACGACTCTTTTTGAGACTGCTCACCCGAGCTCAGGGGCGTTGGCAATCCCCCCCTCCCCCACCCGCGGTGGCTTTCCGGAGCCGCGTGTGTGGCGCTTTAACAAAAAAAAGGAATTGCTTTTTGTTGTTTTAGTTGCCAACAACGCCCCCCCCTTCCCCCTTTGCCTTTAGGTAATTTCTGTTAATGGAGGTGACTGCGTGTGCCGTGCCCCCACCGCCCCCAACCGCCTTCATGACGAACAAGCGGCCAGTGTGTGTGGGCGGTGGCGCAGCGGTTAGCGCACCGTGCTACGAACTCCCGCGAGCCAGGTTCAATTCGCGCTTGCGGTCGACACCAGTGACGATTATCTGAACCGGTCCTGGGCCTCCTCCCATAGGTCGACTCGGCATCGAATGAAGGTGTGTAAACATCGCCACTGGGGAGACAAAGGCGACCGGGCGTGGTGCTTGACCGCCCACCCCCCTCGTGGGCCGTGCCGGCCTTCGTAGGTGCTCGCTAACAGCACTTGCCCCAACAGTCTGTTACAGGCTATACGGGGGGGGGGGGGGGGTCTTTGGTTCCCGCTCGAATTGGGAGTTGATGCAAAAGCTTGCCACAAGCCCTCGTGTGCCGAGGGGGGTGGCGGGGGAGTGCTCCTGCAGTCGATGATTAGGGGGTCTAACGTTCGCTGCCTTGACTCGTGGATTCTCAAGCTTGTGATGGACGAATCGAGTGCGTGTGTGTGCGTCCTATATATATATCTCTCGATGTTTCTCAATTCGTCTATGTTGTACATGGGGTGGAGCGGTGACTCCGCTCGCCCGCGCTATGAATCTGCCGACCCCGGGGTTAGATTCCCGGCCGCGGCTAACTCCGTGACGAGTATCAGAACTGATCCTGGCCTTTTTCAACGACCGATGTGACTTGAGGAGGAGGGAAGGCCTTGGGTGGAAGGTTTGGGTGGTATTTGTTGTTTGTCGCGGGGTCATGTGTGTCGCGGGGTCATGTTGGTCTGTCGCGGGGTCATGTTGCACCAGCTTCTACGAGACCGCTTGCGTTCGCCACCACGGAGTTAATCGATTTGACGGATCGTGGGAATTCATTGTGCGGCGAGGAGAGTTGGATTGGTCCGACTCGACGATATTACCTTAACCCACTACAATAACCTCGGCGGTCTTACAATTCCACAAAGCCCAACTCTTTACTTTCCTATTTTTTTGGTTTTAGACATCTTGGGTTATAAATGAATCTTGGTTTTAATTAAGAACGTAGCATGTATCTAATCGTTCAATGTTGACGTCTTTGATGGTGCGCGATCCCTTGTTGGAACTTATGAAGAAAGTGTTACTTCCTCCGCCATGGTTAACATCCACGGGTGCTCGCGAATAATGCTGCTTCAGCACCCACGCACGTTGGTTGCGCGCGCGAGCGAGCGTGCGTGCGCTCCCCACAAATGTGCATTCGTCGGCGTTCCTGGAAAATACATGTGCAAGTTTACAATGTGACTGATTGAATGAATGAATCCCTTTGAACTGGTGGGGGTCTCAACTAAGATTGTGTGGCCCACCAGGGCTGGGAATGGCGAATATTTCTTAAGTCGTTGCTTTTCAAACTCAAGTTGTCACAGCCTCCTCTTCTCCCCCTCCCTTCCGCTGTGGTAGCCTGTCAATCCGCCCACCCCCCTCGTCATAGACACGTGGAATATCCACCGCTGGCACTGCAGAGCTGTGAAGCAGATTTTTTTTTGCACCAATGCCCCCTCCCCCGTTACTCATTGGAAGCAGGAAATCGCTGGCTCTTTATTCTTTCCGAAATCGGGAGTGAAAAAGATGGTTTTCTACATCCGAGTGTTCCATTTGTTGGACGGAACCAGAAGGGGGGGGGGGGGGGGGGTCCTTCTCGGGGAGGTGACAGCACTGGAGGTTAACTTTTGGGCCGTTTTGGGATTTAAAACAAACAAAAAACTGTCGAGTGATGTTTTCCCTTTGTATTAAGACTATGAACGAAATCTGAAGTTGAACTTGTGCGTCTTCATTGCATGTAACTTTGTATCGGGGGAAAAATGTCGCGCAAAAGTTTCATTAAAATTACGAAATTGTGTAAACTGTCGCCTCTGCGGTGCAGAGGAAGTTGCACGCAGTGACAGAGTGGATTGCTCGCGTTATCCTCCTTAACACGCCCAGGAAAGAGGCCCCACCGTGTTTGCTCCCCACCCTCCCCTCTTGCCTAAACAATGCTGCCTTCTCAAGCCAGGCAGGAGGAATTCCAGGAGGCCACCTTGCATACCAACGTGAATGTAAAGTTAAACACTTGTTGCGATTCCTAAAGGTTTTTTTTAGGGTTTGGTCACGTAAGTATTAATGTGCCGTTCACCCACCACGACCCGACAGGCAATTGGTAAGCTTTGTCAAAAGCAAAACGTGCCAATTAGTTACTAGTTCAGCCCACTTGCGTGTGGGAGAGTAAATACACATTTACAACTGAGCACCTGCGACGTTTTCGCTGGTAATTACATTCCGCATCATCGGGAAATTTTGCCGGAAAAATCAACCCATGATGCTGGATGTAATTACCAGTGAAACGTCATACTGAAATGCTTAACGTCGATTTACTCTCCAATACAGTGGTCGGCTAAACTATTAACTAATTGGCACGTTTTGTTGACGTGACAAACCTTACTGGTTGGCTGTGTTGGGTGGTGGCAGATGGACATTTATACTTAAGCAATGTAACCCAACGACCTTCAATATGAATATTGGTCTCTAAAGCCTACCCCACGTGTCAAACTGCACCGGCAGGTGGTGCACTTGCCAAAAATAACCCACTCCACAATGAACATGAAAGCGTGGCGCACAGAAATGTACACGCACCACCAGCAGGGAGAAAGTGATCATGGGAGGAGGGAGGGGGGTTTATTTCACAATGGACAACAGCGCTTGTTCACAGTCTCTGGCTCCCCGCTATAATTTTCTCCCACCTGTGACCAGGGCCTAACAGTGATTGGGGGGGGGCTGGCTGGCAGTGCTTTCCGTGAGGCTTTTCCTTGGATAGCTTGGAATTGCACCGAGAACCAAGGGTGAAGTTCCACATCAAATGTATCAATCCAACTGGCCTACAGGTGGCTTGCGACAGGGGGGGGGGGGGGGCACGAGGTGTAAAGCTGTGCCGGTTCATCAGCTGCCACACATGGGCCAGCAGCAGTAGCTGCTGCTAGTTAGGAGGTTCACCGTTGCAGTGGTGTGGCTGCCCTGGTTAACCCTGCGGGTGTGTTAACCATGAGACTACAGGTCGCCTGCTGGTTTACAGTGAAAGGGTGAAGATCTGCCGGGGGACCTCGCCGGCAAGAGCAGGTCAAGGTCCCTGCGTCCAGAATCCATAATTTGTTTTTAACCCCTCGCCTGCAGATGAAATCCCTTTCAAAGTGCATCGAGATGTGAGATGTCAAGCGCTCCTAGCATAAAGGGAACCAAGTGACTGGGAAACGACCATCTTCACGATTATCAACACGCGCACAAAAGTCTCCGTCGCACACCTGCACGATAATTTTACATTCGCGCAACGACAATTAAAAACAAACTCGGACAACCTTCACGCGGCAATATTAAAATTACTTTGCGGTATTTTTAAATAAAGTTAGTCCGATGGACAGCGATTCCTTCCCCCCCCAGCCCCACCCCAGACGAAAGTGCTCAGTTTGTGGAGTCCGTTGGACGGCACGCGCGTGAGAGAGACTTGCGTGGTGGTTCTCTCCGCGTGCCTCCTGGCGTGCGCGTGCTGCATCGCTGCTTGTCGGAGGACGCCAGGGAGAGAGGGGGGGGGGGCGGCGGTGGGGGAAGGGCGGCGCCAACACCCCCCCCACCGGCTTCACCAAGTTGCTTTTTCCACCTCGTGCAGGAACGCCCAGTGAGGACGGCAGGGTTGATGTGAAAGGGGAAAACAAAGTGAAATAAACTGGTTGGGAAAGAGAAAATTAGAAGGGTTGTGTGGGGGTAGGTAACGGGTAGAAGGGTAAGGTGGGTGGAGCAGGGATGGGGAGAGTGAGAGTGGCATTGACGGTGGAGATGAGCCAGAAGAGTGGTAAGCGTTCGACCCGTATAGGCACTAAGTGTCAAGGAGGGCATCCGGTCATCAGAACTTAGAAGCTGAGCGGACTTGAGCCTGGCTCGTACTTGGATGGGATACTGCCTGGGGATACCAGGTGGTGTAGACTGGGGCTGAGGTGGCAGCAACAGCAATGGATCCTTCAGTTTTATCTACACGTGACACCAAGTGTCACTCTGGACCCAGCCTTGTTACGGGTGCTGGGTTTTCTCCAGGGTTGTCCACCAGTTTTGTGTTCCACCAGTTTTGTGTTCCACCACACAAAGCCAAACGGAATTGTCCGAACGTCCCAGCATGGCAAGAGGTCCCTCTCGTGCAAAAAAATAAATAAAATAAAATGAGTGCCAAGGCTTTCCTGGATTAAACAAAAGGATGTAATTAGAGAGCGGGCGTGGTTGACGGAGAAGGGGGCAAAGGAGAGATAAGAGGCACTCCAAGAGAATCCAAGGGGGAGAGGCGCAGGTTGAGTGGGGCCGTGCAGATCAGCAGGAGTAGCGGTAAGACTTGGTCCCAGCAGAGAGCCGTGGTCGATGGCTTGCACTGTCACAGTGGCCTCAGGCTTTCTTGGGGACCTTCCCGTATAACGAGTCCATGCCGAGGCCTGCGGAAACACGCAGACAAAGATTCATCCCCGCCCCCCCCCATAGCCTGAACGGACTGTTGGGGCAAGTGCTGTTGGTGGGCACCTGTGAAGGCCGGCATGGCACAGGAGGGGGTGGGTGGCCTACACCACGCCCGGCCGCCTTTGTCTCCTCGGTGGCGATGTTTACACACAAAACCAAGTACTCATTTTAGGCCAAGTCAACCCAGGCCCAGTTTAGATATTCACCACTTGTGTTGGGCAGTGAGCGGTAATCGAACTCGGGTCGCCAGGTTCGTAGCGCTAAGCGCTACACTACCGGTCCCCACGTGATCCTTCGCTCGTTTCTTCCGCTGACACGTCCTCCTGTTCCATGCCTCTCATCCCTGCGTTTCATGCCCTGTCTCTTGTCCCCCCCCCACCCCCCACCTTGTCCTGGTGTCCCCCATGTCACCATACCCCCCCCCCTTTTTCTCACCATACCTTTCAGAATTTTTATTTAAACTGGAGGAATCCGATGAGCTACGAAGCCCTTTGTCACAGACGCCATTTAACGTCCCTGCGTTCGTTAGCCCCAAGTCCCCGTGCTCTCGTGTCTGCCGCTCGGTATCCGCCCCTCCCTCTCGTGTCCCCATTCCTTGTGTGCCCCCCACCAACCCATCCATGTCGCGTCTCCATGCTCGCCCGTTACCCTCGCGTTCCCCGTCTCCATGCCACACCACTCCCCCACCACCCGCGTGTGCCCGTGCGCCCCACGCACCCATGAATACGAGGACGGTTCCCACCCACTGGAAGCTGGACATGGGGTTGGAGAAGAGCAGCACGGAGGCGAGGATGGTGAAGAACTTTCGCGTCGTCGTGATGATGGAGCACGTGAGCGGCCCGAACGACACCACCGTCATGAAGATGAAATTCTACGGCGGAGACGACGACAACAACAACCACCCGGCAGTTGGAGGACGCTGGACGACGTCGGGTTAGTCTGGAAGAATAGGCCAAATACCCTCTCCGGAGGGGTTATCTTGAGCTCCGATTGGTGAGGGCCCTCGCGCCGGCAGCGGCGTGAGCAAGCAGTCGTTCGTGCGCGTATCAGTGTGTGCGCGTGGTCTTTGCGAGCGAGTCTGTTGGACGTGCCTGCCCGAGGGCGCTGGTGATGCTGAAGAGCAGGATTTTGTAGAGGATGGCCGGGTGTCGCTCGGTGAAACTCACAAACTCGAAGATCTCCCCCGTCACCAGCACGCCTGCAAGCACGACACAGGGACAACGCAACGCCGCGCACGGCCTCTTAATGACGCAACCCCTCGACGACGAGACATCGTAACCTCAAGGACGCGACCTCATGACGTGACCTAGTTAGGGACGAGAGCTCGTGACGATGTGACCTCTCGGCGACATGACCTGGTAAGGACGTGACCTCGTCACAACGCGACCCCTCGACGGCACGACCTCGGGACAAGCAGAATGAGAACGAGGCCGTGGATTTTCGCGTAACAACGCGGAGGACGACGTCGACACAACACAAGAGGACACGGTCGCCCTGCTGCGAGTCTTACACCGGACTCGGCACTGACCATTCCAGGACTCGCGTGCGCAGAAATATCTCCCGTATAGCCTTAAACAGACTGTTGGGACAAATGCAGCGAGGAAGCACCTATTGAAGGCTGCCACTAGATGGGGTGGATGGGCGAGCACCCACTCCCGGCCACCTTCGTCTTCCCAGTGCTGATGTTTAGCCACTGCACCAGGTATTCGCACCTCCGACTCGCACGGTTGGCTACATACGGTGCGAAAGATGACACCTTGCCGATATTAACTATGTTAACCTATTTGTATTTTTTATTTTTAAATTATATCTTAAAGCTATTTTATATTCGATATTTATTCAATTTTATATACTTCAGCCCCTTGGTGTTAGTTAGACTTTGAACCCTTATTATAGTAAGACTTGTTTACCACTTATTTAAGATTTTAGATTCCTATATGTTGAATGTATGCACCATCCTGCCAAAGTAAATTCCGTGTCGGTGTGAACTTTCATGGCGAATAAAACCCATTCTGATTCTGAAGACGTTCAACATACACGCTCAACCTAGGGGGAGGCAGCTCAGGACCGGTCCAGATAATCGTTACCGATGTTGACCTCGGGTAGCCGGGTACGCAGCACAATGCACTTAGCCACTGGACTACCACGCCACACACACACACACACAGGCACGTACCCACTCCCAGCAGCAGTGACGACCACAGGTTCACATTGAACATCATGTGGTGCGACCCCGTCTGGTGGCGAGACTTCATCTTGTCCTGGGTGACGCCCGTCAGCCCGTCCAGCGTCAGGGACACCAACTGGACCCCCCCCCCCACAAACCGAGACGCAAACAGTTAGACACCAGGGGCGAGGTGCAACAACAAAGCCTCTCCCTCGGATTACAGGCCGAGGTTGTACAAACCGCGCGAATCGTTAAATAAGTGAATAATAATCCATGAATGACCATGGCGACAACAATGATGGGGGGGGGGATCACCCTGGCGGGGAGCGGGGGGGGGGCGGGGCAGCTTCGTGCTTTGCGGTCCTCACCAGCAGGATTTCGCCGTAGCCCAGGTAGCCCTGCTCAGGGCCACCGCCGTCGCCACCCTTGGCGCCGCCCTTCCCCTTGTAGAGGAACATGGCGACGCCGACGACGATGAGCAGCACGCACAGGTACTTGATGAGCGGGTACCGCTTGCGCGCAAGCAGCACTCCCAGGATCATCACTGCGGGGCGAGGAGGAGGAGGTGGGGGGGGGGCGGCACAGCGAGCGCTTGGGTGTGCCGTGGTCCAACAGCTACGCATCGGTGTGTCGTGAAGCGGTCTAACGACACGCGGCGGGGGAGGGGGGCAGTGCATGCGTAAGAGCTCCGATTCGCTGGCGCACAACCCACTCGCGTCCCCTTCCCTGGTCCTCTTTTGGAATTCATCGAAGTGACACTGCGTTAGAGGCGGGCAAAGGTGCAGCCCTGCAATTTCTTTACTCGCTCCAACTGCTCGTGTAAGCGCCTCCACTAGACAGAGCTCCAGTGCCCTCTCCAGACGACATTTGGCCTTCTCTTCCGCGCTGGGCGGACGTCTCGAAATAGGCGCGAGAAAACCCACACTTTACCCCCACCACACACGACCCGCCAATCTAATGCGGCGTGCCCGTTTATGCTGCTGGGTGGACAGAGGCGTAGAGGATTTTTATAAACTGCATCCTCAAAACTGCCTCCCCCACCCCAAGTCTCCTGACACTAGATACATTGTCACAACCTAGTGAAAACCAATGGAATCCGGAGCGCATCACTCAGTTTTCAAAAAAATATGTATTTCTCCATTACGGAGTTCGGCATTGTTATCCACACAGAGGGGATGACGTGCCAAGCCACGGCCGGGATTTGAACTCGCAGACCCACGATTAGTGCGGTGGGCTGCGTGCGGTGCGAAAGACGTTCGATATACATCGGTGCATACACGTGTACGACTCGCCGAACCATCCGGCCGGATATCTCATCGAGAGCGCTTGAAATTAAGAGGTCACATCCCTTGAGCTCTCCCGGCATCTGACAGGGCCAGCAGCTGCAAGCGCGACACTTGAAACCGGCACTTAAAAGCCGGGCTCATGCCTTCATGCAACATTCGGTGCGCGCAGACGCGAGCTCAATCTATTTTTAAACGGTTAATTGACGCGTCTTCCTCAATGCACGCCCTGTAACAGCCAATGTGGTTGTCTTGGATTGTACACGGTTCCCCCCCCCCCCCCCGATCCATCTGCTCTTCCTCTGGACTCTCGGTGCAATCCCGAGCGCTTGCACCTCGTCAGGCTCCGTCATTCACGACGGACGGCGGACCGTGCCGCCCGCCACACTTCACCTCGACGTGCAACATATGCATGCTCTGCCATGCGACTTCACGTGAGTTGGAGGGAAGTGGGTGGCATTAACCAGAGAAAGGGCGTGGCCATATGTCAAGGGACATGCCCTGGTTGAGCAACTACTCAAAACAGTTGCAGGCGATAATTAAGTTGTGCAACTTTCGACAGCTCCGGCGTAAACACGGCATTAAAGTCACTGCCAGCGGTTAATATAAAACGTGTCAATGAGCACGGTTGGCTACATACGGTGCGCGAAAGAAGCTCAACATACATACGTTTTTACGGCGTCGTGTCTCACCTGGGATGGGCTTGCAGGACTTGCCCAGCACCTGAAACGGCGAAAAGTCACAAATCACGTGCAACAACATTCATTTACCCCAAAAAGCCTCGCCGAGAGTCTCTCGACCTTATTATCATGAACGTTGCATTTGGGACGGCGTTGCGCGGGGTGTGGCGCGGGGTGTGGCGCGGGGTGTGACGCGGGGTGCGTCGGCACACACCTGCGTGGGGTAGTTGACGTACTGCAGCGCGGAGTTGCTGGAGACCATGGCGCCGAGGTAGGAGACGGCGCAGGCCGCAGAGAGCCAACCCGCCGTGCGGTCGGGCGCCGGCCGCGTCACGTACGTCATCACTGCGCGCACGCACGCACCGCATCAGCCAGACGATGGCGACGGCTATAATCGCAACAATGATCACGGTGATGGGAGGACAGAGCGCGCAGGAACACCGCGGATGACCCTCCTCGACACGCACGGGAAAAGGGAGTTTCACAACATCTGGCCGGTGATCCTCCGAACCCTCAATGCCTCCGGAATCGCGCGCATGGCCACCGCACCGGCTGTGAGCGAATGGCGGTTCAGGGAGGCAATTGGCTTCGCTGCCGTTGCTCAGGGCGGTCGGTGCTCGCCGTACCGAGCTTGGCGAAGAGCGCGCTGATCACACACTGCACGAAGACGAGTGACATGGCAAACCGGAACCGCTCCTCCACGTCTCCCGAGCCGTACTGTCCACGCGTGCTGCTCGCTCGCACACAAAAACAAACACAAACATCCCCCCGGGTGGCCTTTAACAGACTGTTGGGGCCAAGCGCTGTTAGCGCACACAACCACACACACACTCGGGTATGACGTGCGTGTGCCTTTGCGTGCGACGTACGTGTGCACACGCGGAAACGTTTAAACGCGCGCCCATACGTGTCACGTGTACAGACAGACGCGCACGTAGACCGTCACGCACGAGACGTGCATCAACACAACAACAAACCCAGGCAACATACACGTGATAAATATACCCCATATACAGACTTTTGTTAGCGAGCACCTACGGAGGCCTGCACAGAACACGAGGGGGTGGGTGGCCAGCGCCATGCCCGGCCGCCTTTGTCTCCCCATAGCCGATTTTTACACCTCTCACCAGGTACTCATTTAAGGCAGAGTAGATTTTGGGGAAGCTCAGAAAGGCATGACACACACACACAGACAAGCAACACGCAAAACCCAGATATCACGTGACACGTACACACGACACCAACACACTCAGAGACAACATACCATCATCATAGGCTCCCAACAATACATACAAGTACAGTACATCGTTCCCCAGCGTCACCCTTAAACATCAATCCTTCTGTACGAGGTCGATAAAGTGGCACCACTTAGTCGCCACGACAGACAACAGCAGTGCTTGCCAATTCATCATTGATAATTAGGCTAGGCCTCGTAATTGATCCGTACGTACGTATGTTGAACTTCTTTCACACCGTACGTATTCAACTGTGCTAATCTGTCGTTAACCCCTTATACCACCCAACATAACCCAATAAAGATTCTCACGTGTAGAGTACAAACTCGCCACGCCCGTTACGATTGCTTCCGCTCACACCGGTCCACTGAAGAACAATTATTCTCACCACCGAAACGTGGCAATTACTGTCGTGTGCTTGCTTCATAGTTAACTAAGGATACACCGTCGCCCGCCATATAACCGTGGAATTGACACCACTAGCTGGGCACCACCAATGTGGATGAGGCAACCGACTTATTAGATCACCGCAGCGTCGTGATGTTAACTCCCTCGCCTGGTATGAAAGAGGTCGTGGATTCGATACCGACCCTGACGCCTGCTGTATATTTGGAGTTTGCGTGTCTCTCTCTCTCACCATCATCACGGTGGCTAGGAGATGTTAACTACCTCGCCTGGTATGAAAGAGGTCGTGGGTTCGATACCGACCCTGACGCCTGCTGTATATTTGGAGTTTGCGTGTCTCTCTCTCTCTCATCATCATCATCACGGTGGCTAGGAGATGTTAACTACCTCGCCTGGTATGAAAGAAGTCGTGGGTTCGATACCGACCCTGACGCCTGCTGTATATTTGGAGTTTGCGTGTCTCTCTCCCCGTGGTCGCGTGGATTTTTCTCCGGGTCCTCCGGTTTTTCACTCCACATTTGCAATCAACGTCACGCGTTTAGATTATTTGGCTGCTATAAATGTCCATACAGTGAGGGAAAAAAGTATTTGATCCCCTGCTGATTTTGTACGTTTGCCCACTGACAAAGAAATGATCAGTCTATAATTTTAATGGTAGGTTTATTTGAACAGTGAGAGACAGAATAACCAAAAAATCCAGAAAAACGCATGTCAAAAATTTTATAAATTGATTTGCATTTTAATGAGGGAAATAAGTATTTGACCCCCTCTCAATCAGAAAGATTTCTGGCTCCCAGGTGTCTTTTATACAGGTAACGAGCTGAGATTAGGAGCACACTCTTAAAGGGAGTGCTCCTAATCTCAGCTTGTTACCTGTATAAAAGACACCTGTCCACAGAAGCAATCAATCAATCAGATTCCAAACTCTCCACCATGGCCAAGACCAAAGAGCTCTCCAAGGATATCAGGGACAAAATTGTAGACCTACACAAGGGTGGAATGGGCTACAAGACCATTGCCAAGCAGCTTGGTGAGAAGGTGACAACAGTTGGAGCGATTATTCGCAAATGGAAGAAACACAAAAGAACTGTCAATCTCCCTCAGCCTGGGTCTCCATGCAAGACCTCACCTCGTGGAGTTGCAATGATCATGAGAACGGTGTTGAATCAGCCCAGAACTACACGGGAGGATCTTGTCAATGATCTCAATGCAGCTGGGACCATAGTCACCAAGAAAACAATTGGTAACACACTACGCTGTGAAGGACTGAAATCCTGCAGCGCCCGCAAGGTCCCCCTGCTCAAGAAAGTACATATACATGCCCGTCTGAAGTTTGCCAGTGGACATCTGAATGATTCAGAGGACAACTGGGTGAAAGTGTTGTGGTCAGATGAGACCAAAATGGAGCTCTTTGGCATCAACTCAACTCGCCGTGTTTGGAGGAGGAATGCTGCCTATGACCCCAAGAACACCATCCCCACCGTCAAACATGGAGGTGGAAACATGGTTTGGGGGTGTTTTTCTGCTAAGGGGACAGGACAACTTCACCGCATCAAAGGGACGATGGACGGGGCCATGTACCGTCAAATCTTGGGTGAGACCCTCCTTCCCTCAGCCAGGGCATTGAAAATGGGTCGTGGATGGGTATTCCAGCATGACAATGACTCAAAACACACGGCCAAGGCAACAAAGGAGTGGCTCAAGAAGAAGCACATTAAGGTCCTGGAGTGGCCTAGCCAATCTCCAGACCTTAATCCCATAGAAAATCTGTGGAGGGAGCTGAATGTTCGAGTTGCAAAACGTTAGCCTCGAAACCTTAATGACTTGGAGAAGATCTGCAAAGAGAAGTGGGACAAAATCCCTCCTGAGATGTGTGCAAACCTGGTGGCCAACTACAAGAAACGTCTGACCTCTGTGATTGCCAACAAGGGTTTTGCCACCAAGTACTAAGTCATGTTTTGCAGAGGGGTAAAATACTTATTTCCCTCATTAAAATGCAAATAAATTTATAACATTTTTGACATGCGTTTTTCTGGATTTTTTTTGTTGTTATTCTGTCTCTCACTGTTCAAATAAACCTACCATTAAAATTATAGACTAATCATTTCTTTGTCAGTGGGCAAACATACAAAATCAGCAGGGGATCAAATACTTTTTTTCCCTCACTGTATGATAAGCCACTTCCTTGGGCTATCATTTGTGGCCAGATCGCTTCTGAAAAATAACGATAAAAAATTATTTAAAAAGCTGAATAGTTATTCATTCATAAGCAAGGTGACATTTACATCTCGGTTGAATCTACGTCTGCATGAACGTCTCCCACATGCCATATCGGTCACGGCTGTTGTTTGACCATACTTCACCAGGCTGGCCTTGTGGGATGGTAGAAGGCAAGGCGGAGGAGGGACGGAGCTGGATTGGGAAAGCAAAGGAGGTTGGGTACCAGGACCGGTTCAGATACCACTCGCCAAACGGTGTTGGCCTTGGCTGGGATTCGAACCCCGGTGAGCCGGGTTCAGTGCGTCTAACCACTGTCAAATACACAACAGCACGAGGTAAACCGTGCCACGTCAGAACTCCTGTACTTGGAACTAAGCCATGCCCACGCTGCCAACTGGATACGCAGGGCTAAGCTGCCAAAACTTTCGTGAGGCCAATGCATTTGCTATTTACAGGGTAAAAATCGATGCGAAGTATATGATGTGGAAATGTTTGTTCACCTTCTTTCGCACCGTACGTAGCCAACCGTGCGAATCGGAGGTGCGGGCTAAGGACAACAAACCAAACACGAATGTGGTAAAAAAAAATTAAGATGTCATAACATAATCGTCTGTATTTGGACAGCCAAGTGAAATTCTCTCCGATGTCTCGCCGCCTGATCCTAAAGCGGTTCAGCAGTTCCAAGTAGCGAGAAGGACGTTCCTAGGACGTAGAGTTGAATGATTTGAGGACAATGTCTAATTGCGATTTTTCTAACAGATATTGCGATTACATTTTTTAAAAGTCAAGCTTCAGTTCAATATTCACTGTGTAATAGATTTAAAACACGGGATGGAGCATTACCACGTGATACCATCAACATATGAACTGCTCTATATATTCTAATGCAAGGAAGATAACTTAAATGATATGAATTGCTTCCAACATGTATTTATTAAAGTGTTTTAATTTAAATATAACAATCAAACATCTAGAACAATTGAAAAGTTAAATAAAGTTATAATACAAAATAAAATAATTCCAATAAGTAATCGGACTTTTCAAATCGCAAAACATCGTAGCCTTTGCGATTTGCAAATCGCAGTTTCAAATTACGATTTCGATTTGAAATCAATTAATCGTTCAGCCCTACTACAAAGCACCACGTCTCACATTTCCCCGTGTCCTTATCGCCCACGTCTCTCCCGTCTCTATTGTCCACGTGTCCTCCAGTTCCCCCCCACTCCGACCATCACCACCCCCCACCGTGTCTCCCATACATCCCCGGATTCATTCACCATTTATCCTACACGTACCACCCCTAAACCTATGTACCTCCATCCCCCCCCCCCAATGTCTACTCATGTAAACTAAAACTATCACATTCATAGCAGCCAAATACTCTAAACGCGTGATGTTGGTTTTAAATGTGGAGGGAAAAACCTGAGGACCCGGGCGGAAAATCCAAGCGACCACGGAGAGAGAAACACGCAAACTCCAAATATACAGCCGGTGACAGGGTCGGGATCAAACCCACGGCCTCCTGTATGCTATTTACCCCCCCATCTCCTCATGTACCCCCCCCCCCCCATCTCCCCATGTACCCCCCTCATCTCCCCATGTACCCCCCCATCTCCCCGTGTACCCCCCCCATCTCCCCATGTACCCCCCCCCATCTCCCCATGTACCCCCCCATCTCCCCATTTACACCCCCTCATCTCCCCATGTACCCCCTCATCTCCCCATGTACCCCCCCTCATCTCCCCATGTACCCCCCCTCATCTCCCCATGTACCCCCCATCTCCCCATGTACCCCCCCCATCTCCCCATGTACCCCCCCATCTCCCCATGTACACCCCCCCTATCTCCCCGTGTACCCCCCCCATCTCCCCATGTACCCCCTCATCTCCCCATGTACCCCCCTCATCTCCCCATGTACTCCCCACCATCTCCCCATGTACCCCCCATCTCCCCATGTACCCCCCCCATCTCCCCATGTACCCCCCATCTCCCCATGTACACCCCCCCCATCTCCCCATGTACCCCCCCCCCATCTCCCCATGTACCCCCCCATCTCCCCATGTACCCCCCACCATCTCCCCATGTACCCCCCCCATCTCCCCATGTACACCCCCCCCCATCTCCCCATGTACCCCCCCATCTCCTCATGTACCCCCCCATCTCCCCATGTACCCCCCACCATCTCCCCATGTACCCCCCACCATCTCCCCATGTACCCCCCACCATCTCCCCATGTACCCCCCTCATCTCCCCATGTACCCCCCTCATCTCCCCATGTACCCCCCCATCTCCCCATGTACCCCCCCCATCTCCCCATGTACCCCCCACTATCTCCCCATGTACCCCCCCCCATCTCCCCACGCACCCCCCCCCCCCACCATCTCCCCATGTACCCCCCACCATCTCCCCACGCACCCCCCCCCACCATCTCCCCACGCACCCCCCCCACCATCTCCCCACGCACCCCCCCCCCACCATCTCCCCACGCACCCCCCCCCCCCACCATCTCCCCACGCACCCCCCCCCCTCATCTCCCCACGCACCCCCCCACCATCTCCCCACGCACCCCCACAGTGCCCACCCACTCACATGCTCTCCTGCAGGATGCCGTAGTAGAAGTAGCAGACGAACACTCCCACGAAGCACACCCCGAGCCGCAGCCTCTCGTTGCGCAGCATCCCCGCCGCCGCCGCCGCCTCCACGGGAACCTCGAACGCCACGTGCGGAGACCCCGACGCGCTCATGCGGCCCCGGCCGCGGGGGTGTCGGTGGGGTAACCCCGGCTGAGGATTCTATCCGAGACCGGTAAAACAACAAAAAAGAGCGCAGGCCGCGGACGGTCGACAACCGGCCGTCGAGCGACGGCGTGAGCCTGGGGGGTTGTTGCCTTGTGACGGACGAGAGAGGAGGAGACGCGTGAGGGTGATGAGGAGGTAGATGATGAGGAGAAAGAAGAAGATGCGGGAGGAGGAGGAGGCTGGCGAGCTTTGAAGGCGGCGGCGGCGCGGGTCGAGTTGTGTCGAGTGGAGGCCTAGGCCGGGCTGCTCGGGAGGGCTGAGTGGTGGGGGGCAGCGTGGAGCCACGCGATTGGACGAGAGCGGCGCGACGTCATCACGGGGCGTTGCCCTTGGCAACTGTCAGTGATGGGTGCTTGACGATGATGATGGAGTTGATGGTGGTGATGGTGATGATGGTGGTGATGGTGGTCATGGTGGTTGATGGTGATGATAGTGGTTGATGGTGGTGATGATGATTGTGGTGACGGTGATGATGGTGGTTGATGGTGATTATGATTGTGGTTGATGGTGATTGTGGTGACGGTGATGATGGTGGTTGATGGTGATGATGGTAGTGATGGTGATGATGATTGTGGTGACGGTGATGATGGTGGTTGATGGTGGTGATGGTGATTGTGGTTGTGGTTGATGGTGATTGTGGTGACGATGATGATGGAGTTGATGGTGGTGATGGTGATGATGGTGGTGATGGTGGTTGATGGTGATTGTGATGATGATTGTGGTTGATGGTGATTGTGGTGACGGTGATGATGGTGGCTGATGGTGATTGTGGTGACGTTGATGATGGTGGTTGATGGTGATGGTGGTGATGCTGATTGTGGTTGATGGTGATTGTGGTGACGGTGATGATGGTGGTTGATGGTGATGATGGTGGTTGATGGTAGTGATGGTGGTTGACGGTGGTGATAGTGATGATGGTGGTTGATGATGATGATGATGGGGTTTATGGTGGTGATGGTGGTTGATGGTGGTGATGGTGGTGATGATGGTGGTGATGGTGATGATGGTGGTTGATGGTAGTGATGGTGGTTGACAGTGGTGATAGTGATGATGGTGGTTGATGATGATGGTGATGGTGATTGATGGTGATGATGGTGGTTGATGGTGGTCATGGTGGTTGATGGTGATGATGGTGATGATTGTGGTGACGGTGATGATGATGGTTGATGGTGATGATGGTGATGATGATTGTGGTTGATGGTGATTGTGGTGACGGTGATGATGGTGGTTTATGGTGATGATGGTGGTTGATGGTGGTGATAGTGATAATGGTGGTTGATGGTGATGATGGTGGTTGATGGTAGTGATGGTGATGGTGGTGATAGTGATGATGGTGGTTGATGGTGGTGATGGTGATGATGGTGGTGATGGTGCTGACGATGGTGGTTGATGGTGGTGATGGTGATGATGGTGGTGATGGTGATGATGATGGTGGTCATGGTGGTTGATGGTGATGGTGGTGATGGTGGTGATGGTCACAATTGGAATCTATATTCATACTTCTGGAGTAGAAATCCGATGACATATATCCGACAGGGGCACGGGGTAAGAACGTCGCAACAACAAACGATGCAAAAACAATGATAGGAGCGGTCAGTACAAGAAAGCTAAACAACACCAACAACAATTGCCGCCATTCGCCACTAAAGTGGCGGTGTCGCCTGCAAAGTTTCCTGTGCCAGGCTAGGTGCGCTTTAATAGCCACGTGGAAGTGTCGAATGCCCGCGGGCAGGAAGGAGGTCATGGGAAAGACCCAGCAGGTGCCACGGGTCGACTGAGATGACCGGCCGATGCATCACCTGTGCCCCCTACTGTGCCAAACTTGGTAAGAAAGGTAAACAAATCGCTCAAACACAAACAAATAAAATACTAAATCATCCCCATTCTATCAGGCAAAGCCCACTGAGCTATTAACTTATTTTTCAGAAGCGACCTGGGCACCACAACTGATAGCTCAGCAAAGTGGCCCGTGGTTTGGAAATGTATAGCACTAAAATAATCTAAATAATCTCAATGCATAATGGTTGTTGATGGTGAAGTGACAATAATGTAATTAATGATCGTGGTAAAGTGATGGTTGTTGGTGATATAATGACGGTGCTGGAAAATCATGAAATCATGATCGTGGTGGTGGTGGTGGTGGTGAATAATTGGTGGTGATGATTGTGTGGTGGTGATGGTGGTGGTGTTGCATGGCGATGATGACTATAATAATGATGATGATGATGCAGCTTACCCGTTCAGAGACAGGGGAAATGAACTCATGGAGAGCATCATGAGGCCTCCTTTGCCAGTAACAAAATATAATGATAGTTTTATTACCCTTTTTTCTGGCAACAAAACTGACACCTTTTTACGAGGAATCATGTTTGCATTAACCACAATACCTGCGGTCAGAATGCAAACAAAAAACAACTCTGATAATGTATGTGGCATTGTCCTTGAAATTGATTGGTCCGCACCAGAGACAGCTTTTCTTAGAGCCCAGTCTCACGTGGTGTTGGTCCAGATGACGCCAAAAGGCGCACGTGCCTTATGGTGTGGGCCAATCAATTTCAAGGACAATGCCACATACATTATCAGAGTTGTTTTTTGTTTGCATTCTGACCGCAGGTGTTGTGGTCAATGCAAACATGATTCCTCGTGAAAAGGTGTCAGTTTTGTTGCCAGAAAAAAGGGTAAAAAAACCTATTACAGTCATACAGTAAGGGAAAAAAGTATTACACTTGGTTGATCCCCTGCTGATTTTATACGTTTGCCCACTGACAAGGAAATGATCAGTCTATAATTTTAATGGTAGGTATATTTGAACAGTGAGAGACAGAATAACAACAAAAAAATCCAGAAAAACACATGTCAAAAATGTTATAAATTGATTGGCATTTTATTGAGGGAAATAAGTATTTGACCCCTCTGCAAAACATGACTTAGTACTTGGTGGCAAAACCCTTGTTGGCAATTACAGAGGTCAGGCGTTTCTTGTAGTTGGCCACCAGGTTTGCACGTATCTCAGGAGGGATTTTGTCCCACTCTTTGCAGATCTTCTCCAAGTCATTAAGGTTTCGAGGCTGACGTTTGGCAACTCGAACCTTCAGCTCCCTCCACAGATTTTCTATGGGATTAAGGTCTCGAGACTGGCTAGGCCACTCCAGGACCTTAATGTGCTTCTTCTTGAGCCACTCCTTTGTTGCCTTGGCCGTGTGTTTTGGGTCATTGTCATGCAGGAATACCCATCCACGACCCATTTTCAATGCCCTGGCTGAGGGAAGGAGGTTCTCACCCAAGATTTGATGGTACATGGCCCCGTTCATCGTCCCTTTGATGCGGTGAAGTTGTCCTGTCCCCTTAGCAGAAAAACCCCCAAAGCATAATGTTTCCACCTCCATGTTTGACGGTGGGGATGGTGTTCTTGGGGTCATAGGCAGCATTCCTCCTCCTACAAACACGGCGAGTTGAGTTGATGCCAAAGAGCTCCATTGTGGTCTCATCTGACCACAACACTTTCACCCAGTTGTCCTCTGAATCATTCAGATGTTCATTGGCAAACTTCAGACGGGAATGTATATGTGCTTTGTTGAGCAGGAGGACCTTGCGGGCGCTGCAGGATTTCAGTCCTTCACGGCGTAGTGTGTTACCAATTGTATTTTTGGTGACTATGGTCCCAGCTGCCTTGAGATCATTGACAAGATCCTCCCGTGTAGTTCTGGGCTGATTCCTCACTGTTCTCATGATCATTGCAACTCCACGAGGTGAGATCTTGCATGGAGCCCCAGGCCGAGGGAGATTGACAGTTCTTTTGTGTTTCTTCCATTTGCGAATAATCGCACCAACTGTTGTCACCTTCTCACCAAGCTGCTTGGCAATGGTCTTGTAGCCCATTCCACCCTTGTGTAGGTCTACAATTTTGTCCCTGACATCCTTGGAGAGCTCTTTGGTCTTGGCCATGGTGGAGAGTTTGGAATCTGATTTATTGATTGCTTCTGTGGACAGGTGTCTTTTATACAGGTAACAAGCTGAGATTAGGAGCACTCCCTTTAAGAGTGTGCTCCTAATCTCAGCTCGTTACCTGTATAAAAGACACCTGGGAGCCAGAAATCTTTCTGATTGAGAGGGGGTCAAATACTTATTTCCCTCATTAAAATGCAAATCAATTTATAACATTTTTGACATGAGTTTTTCTGGATTTTCTTGTTGTTATTCCGTCTCTCACTGTTCAAATAAACCTACCATTAAAATTATAGACTGATCATTTCTGTGTCAGTGGGCAAACGTACAAAATCAGCAGGGGATCAAATACTTTTTCCCTCACTGTACCTCGGTATACGACCGCTTTGGAATACGTCGAATTTGGTATACATCGTGTTTCGACGAGAAAAAAAATGTCTTAGGATTTCGACGTCTTGCTTGGGATACGACGCCTCGCTTGCTAGAACTTGTATGGGTCGGGATGAGGTCACCACGTACCCGCGAAGACCCCGTTCACGACTGAGACAATGCGCCGCTCCTCAGTCTGCCTGTCGATCTCGTTCAGTGCACGACCCTTGCTAGAACTCTCCGTGAATTTTCACTTGGTGTTTTTTGTGTCATTTTCCCGTGAATTTGTTTGCGAATTCATTCAAGATGGGTCCCAAGAAGTTTAGTGAGAAACGCCAAGGCTACAAAGAAAATGGTTAGGTTTTAATTTATTTATGCATTTATTTAAATTTATGTATGCGCTTTAGTAATAAGTAGTGTCTAAATGATTTCATACCCCATTAATGTATAATATGCCATATAAAATATAATTTCTTATACTCTGGAACGGATTATTTCCTTACCCTTTATTTCTTATGGGAAAAATTTCGTTTGGTATTCGTCATTTTCGGTATAAGTCCTCCCTTCTGGAACGAATTAACGGCGTATACCGAGGTACCACTGCATCATGGACAGCACTCGCACTATGCAAAGCTGACATCGCCGACAAGACACTGAACGCCCGAATCCGGAGCAGGAGGATTATTTTCCGTATGAAACCAACGCTACCGCAAGTATGCCCTCGCAGAAGGCTGTGCGGCTGATGGGATGCGTAGAAAACACTTTCACACACAGTACAGAAGACGATCTGTGATTTGAAGCTTTCGTGACTGCAGGAATCCATACTCTTTGGTTCCCTTCGGTAAAGTCACGTGGGTAGAAAAATTAAATTAGATTTTAAAAATATCACGACGTTTCGACCGCAACACAAGCGGAGCTGGTTCAGGAGTTCCACTGCTGGATAAAAAAAAAAATTCC